AAAACCTAATAAATAGCAGAAAATAACCTAATTTTAAGGGTTTGGGCCAACCCGCTAAAACAAGCCCAACAATACGAAACGCAAATAATAAAGTCCAATAACAATAAAATAAATCTCTATGATGCCCGCATCAGGGCCATGTTGCTCATTTCATGGACTGAACCAGTGCATGTGGTATAGAACCTTTACCAGCATCATATTCTCTCCCAGCAAGAAAGCGAAGCACCATTCCTTTAGAATTAATAGCATGTATACAAGTGAGCTTTCATCTTTTAGTTCAAGTAAACTGTGATCAAATCCATGGAAGAAGCATTGCAGCTAATGATTTATCTCTAGAGCAATCTATGGCCAGTTATAAGATCAAAGATGGGCATGTCTATAAGGGAATTGTGACTGCAATGCCTGCAGAACCTAGAGCATGTGGATGTGTACAACCTCATGAAATAGTTGAGAATGTAGCCCCTTATTCCACGATTAAGAATATCTCGATTCAGAAACTAACTCAAGAATGTAAGATAGGAGTGGAGCGGAGCGTCTGGTGAAAACTAGAACACCTTCAATGAAGGCTTCAGAATTATGGTGTGAGAAACCAGCTATACTCCTCTGCATCCGTTGACCCGGGTATCATTTTATGAATATACTGCACTTGACATCAACTTACATTGTCAACTGGGATTCCAACAAATCTAGAATTTCATGTGCAGAGCTGAAGCCCACCAACTATATTCCAAGAAACCAGTATTTGATGCACTCAGGGTCCAAATATTTGTAGTACTTCATGAGCATATAAAATCTGAGGTATATTTTTCAACTCACATGATCACGCATTGTAACTGGCTAATGAATGCTCAATCATATCATTTAATGGTTTCAGTAAAAGACTCCTGGCCAAAATACTGGGGTGACATCGTGCTCTTTGACAAAGGCATGGAGTTTTTCAAAGCCCTAGGTGGGGGGAAGCTACTGAAAGACAAGTTTGTATCTGGTTTCCTATTCAACCCTAAAGCAATTGCAAATTATAAGCGAGCAAAGGCCATGGGAATAGACCAAAATTTCAAGGGTGGAGGTGAGGTAAAGGGTGGACTTTTTATAATTGGTAAAGGAAAGAGTGGCATTGCTTACCAGTTCATTGAGAGAAACTTCGGTGATTGGGCACCGCTTGCTGAAGTCGTAAAAATCTGTACACGTTTCCAGGTAGTTTTCTAATGCCTTACTGTAACTTCTTTCCTGTACAGAATG